CTTCTTCCTTCTCTACCCTTCTCTTTCATCTTTTCCTGATGCGATTACAAATACAGAGTTTTTAGTACTCCGAGCTTTTGCACGTTATCTCCAGCTGGAGACTCATGGCCAGCCCTCAGCCTGGAAAACCACAGGACAGTTCACAAACACAGGGTTAAATCCCACTCTCTCTAAAACAGCTGTGAAAGTTTCCATGGTGTGAGGACCAGGCGATGGGACAGGACAGGTTGATAACAACCTGCAAAGAGAGACTTTTAAAATTACCCAGCACTGCTTGAAGAGGAACAGTCTAATGAACCATTACTGATAAAGTGGAAAGTAGTGATGGCAACTACCACCACACTCCTGCACGGAATAATTCCAGCTGCCTCATCAACTGGCAACAGCTGAAATCACTATAGTATAAACTTGTGGGCAGCTTTACATCTCTATTTCTTGCCCCTCACCCTACACACCTACCATGTCACTCGTGCCTTGCTGTATTTGCTATGAGGAACCAACACCGTGCTCCGGTTTCTCATCAGAACTGAGCCTGGGAGCCAAGGCTAAGCGACTCAGTCAGCAACACATAGGAGATCTGTGGGAGAACAAAGGATACATTTTGAGCGTCCTTAGTTGGATGCCAAGCAGTCGCTTTCTGTCTCTGAGTGATGGATGGAGTGGATCACCTCTGAGGACAGATAAGGCAGGAGACAGCACTATCACCGGCACCTCTGCTTTTTGGCAGGAGGAGAAAAACAGTGAGGAGAGGGGCTGCTTTTTTTATTTTCCCCTCCCTAATCTGCTCCCTCCTTGGTTCAAGAACAACCCTGCGCACAGTTGTGTAATATTATCATCACTGTTATTTTCCAGAGTGCTGTAAAACCAGGGAATAGAGCACTCCGACAGCCTCATAACAAACAGCAGATAAAACTAATTAGATTTTGTTCTTCCTTCACTTTGCTGACTTGATTCTTTTTTATTTTTATTGTTTAATTATTTATTTTTAGCCCAGAGGCTTAGGCACACGTGTATTCTGCCAGGCTCTGGCAAGGCATCCTTCGCATCACCTCCGATAGGAAACGGCACAAGGCTGAAACAGAGGCAGCAGTGTGAGCACGGCTCCGGCCGCATCTCTTACCCATGTCATGTCACCCACAGCGAGGGGAGGAAGGAGAGCATGGCTATTCAGAGCCACTAAGAGAGTCAGTGAGACAAAAGGCATCAGTAAAAAAAGTTAATGTGTCTGGCGGGAGCCCAGAACAGCTTCTGCGGTGCGGACTATCTGAATGCTGTCTCTGCTGGCCATTACGGAAATATTTGGCTTGTGTCTCAACCTGACAGCCTTGCTGACTCTTGAGGAATGTCAATGGTAGGGAGCAGGGAGACGTCCCTCTCCTCCCTCCCCTTCTCCATCGCTGTTTCCAAATACTTTGGGATTAGCTAGTGATGGCAAGAAAAGGCAGTGGCCTCGTTGCTCAGCACTTAGCAGGCTGAAGTGAGGTGACGTGCCTTAGCGTAGGGGACAACGGCTCCATTCACTAGGGAAATACCAAATCAGAATTACAAGTGTGCAAGAATAAACAAGGCTGGAGTTAATCTAAAGTTGTTTTACACTCTGTTTTATTAAAGTCAATGCACTTCCGTTCCTCTGTGCGGAGCCTAGTTCTGCTTAATTACCATAACTCAGGGAGAATTTTAATAACGGAGAGAGTGGCATGCAGTGGAGGTTCTCTCCTGACCTCTAGAGGTCTGTCAAAAGAAGAAGAGCATCTGCTTCCCATAGAGGTTCTTGGAAGAGACAACGCAATCCACCAAACTGCTTCTGCTGGAAGTTTCCAAGTTCCATTCCCTGCCAGTTGGTCACCCAACCCTCCTCCCTCTGGATGTTCTTGGCTCCCAGTTCTTCAGTAGCAGAGCGGGTTGGGGGTTCACCTGCCCATCACCTCCTGCAGTGCCCTCACCCCTTGCTGAGAAGTTGTTTGGCACAACAGGGAGTTTGTCAGGGAGAAGCCTGGGCCAGGTGCTTCCTATTACACAGCAGCACAATAGCTAAAATACCGGTGTCGCAGTAAGAGAAACACTGATTTATTTTTCTTTTCAGTAAGATGCACCAGTGGCAAACGTCAGGGAGCACTGTTCCACTATTGCTGTGGAAGGGTGTTGGTACAGAACGCAGTGTGGGAGGGAAGAGCAGCTCTAGATGTACACAGGTTGCTCCAAAAGTAATGCTGCCTTTTTATAACCATAGAAACTACAACAGATACAAAGAGTACATCATCTATTTGATAGAGCAAATTCTCAGCTACAGAACACCTTTTTTAGCATAGCTACCACCATTGGCTATGCATTTTCTCAGTGGAGATGACCCAGTGTCACTGCAACCACTACTGAAACAGACATCCCACTGCCTCGCTGTGCTCACATCCACCGATTGGTCTCCATAAACATTCAGCAAGCGTCAGTGTCAATGGGTGCTATTTTTCCCCATGCACGAATTCAGTTCCACCCCTTTGCTTCATATGCACTTCCACGTCAGGCACCATTCTGTCAGACTGCCCCTCTGCTGCCATCTGTTACACAGCAACAAAATGTAATGGAATATTGCTGGAAATGTTCAACCTCTGCTGCCATACCATCAATATCTGCCTCTGGCATTGTGGATCAAACTAATAAAATAGGAGGTATTATTTTTGGAGTAGCCCTGATATATATGCACATCTACAGATGTATATACCAAGTAGTGCTTTTTACCTAGTGTCCTGGGGCCACGTAGAATACTGAAGATCTTACACCATGGCCTGTGTACGCTGCAGACTGGATTCAGCACAGTGTGAGTGTTTTGTCATGCATATGAATGTTGGAATTTGAAGTTAGCTATGCACATATATCATTTTTTAATAATAAGCTTTTAAGCAACGTTATACAAACTATTATAATGGGAGCACCTGTTTTACCTCATTGGTGTCCATTCCTGTGAGCCACCCTTTTATGAAAATTCAGTATTGTATGCAACAAGCTGCACGCTAAGGCAAGCAGAACATGATATCTTTACAGAGAACACACACTATAGCTAATGAATTAGCTTGGTCTATGAAGCTCAGCTTCTGAGGACCCAAGCTGCCTGTCTTTTGACCATTGTCATAAAGAGAGAACTAGAAACACAGAGAACTGTTATGCAGTGCTGAAGGCTTTAGAACACCTGGATACCGAAACCCCAGCAGGACAGGAAGAAATAGTTTCTCCAAGGAGTTGGCTGCTGATGGAAATGTATGCACAGGCGGTCTGGAGGAAGGTGTTCAGAAATGCATCAGAATAAAAAACTCAGTTGGCTCCAAAAATTCTATCCACAAACAGCATAAAGATGAGAGGATTACAGGGTGCTTTTAATCACACATCAATAATAATAGTAATCACCAGTAATGGAGGTTTTATAGTCTGTAATACTACAACACACTGTATGTTTGTCCTCCTTGAGCCTTATAAAGACAGCAGTGAGAAAGCTGGGAGCTTCTTGCACAGTGCAATTACCTCCATCTGGGTTCAAGGCAATTCCCCATGTGCAGCAGCAGAGTGTTAGACACGTGAGAAATACAGGCAGTATGAGGAGAGAGGTGCTGTGATGTGGGCTTTGTGCTTTACCAACCTCAGGCATGCATTTGTGTTCTTGGTCTGTGCTGGAGCTCAAGAAGCTGCATCTCCATTGCTTTGGACAACTGTGTGAAAGCACGTGAATTCTAATGCTGGTGGAATTAGGCTTGCAAAGACATTTCTATGTTACCTATTCTGTAAGAGACCACTTTATAAAATCAAGATTTGTTTTTGCAGGCAATTTTACAAGAAATCTCTCTTTTTTTTTTTTTCCATTTGGAGATAAAATAAGTTGTTCCCTTATGGGAATCGCTAGAAGAATGCATCCTATATATAACCTACCATTAATGTCTTCTGTTATATTGCTATCCGGCACAATGGGGTCCTGTTTCATGAGTTAGGTTTCCTTAGTGGTATCATATTAAAACTAACAAAGAATAATCAGTCACTAGACTGATTCTTGGGCTAAATTCACCCTTGGATATTGCCACCATCACTAATCCAATTGACATAATATTGGAGGACCCCAGCCACCTCAAGAGAACACGTTTTTCTCCTTGAAATGCTTCCAGCCTCTCTCACTCCCAATAGCAGCCTCCAACATTATCTGTATTCCCTTAGTGCATCCTGCTGGATTCTCACAGAGAATCATAGAGAAAGTATCATTCCGCAGTCCGTGAAACAAATTCTTCCACTTGGGCCCATCAGTTCAAGCATGAAGTGGCTCAAATGAGATTATGCTGGACTAGTTCATTCCAGTGCAGCAAAGAAGTAAATTTAGGCCAGGTTTCCAGAGGACTGCTCTGTATGGTGGTGCTTTCCTTACTCTGGCACATAGGGTTTCACATGCTGTTACTGAGATACAACCAGTTCAGGAGCATGCATAGCCTGACCCAAACTGCTGGAAACATGGTCAAAATCCCGATCAGACAGAACTCAGATGCATGTTCTACAGCTCAAGAGAAATGAATGGTAACAGAGAACTCTTGCCAAAGGCCTCATAAACTGCCACAATTCTGAGATCTGTGGGCAAAGGCTGCTGTCCATAATAAAAGCCTAAGCCAGGAAGAAGGATGTTCTTTCAAAAGTCAGAAAACCACTCCCCATATCAATCTATATGAATCCACGCACTAGAGGCAGCCATGGGATGAGGATTCTGTTTAGGAAAGGATGATGTCCTCTTACAGTACCCCTGGAGCCAGTGGCTCCTCATCTCTGCCTTGTGAAGAAAGCTCAAGGAGTTCTCAGTACATACATGTATACAGATCACACAAACATAAAGGCAAATGTCAATGCAGAACTGGAGCAAGACATCTGGGAAGGATGCTGAAGCTGGCAAACAGACAAATATGAGCAGTAGCCTGACAGTCAAAGTCTTGCTCATGCAGGGCTGCTCTCAAACCCACTGTACGCTCCAAGCGGCGCAGAACTCAGAGGAAGAGCTGTGTGCTGGATGCTGGCTGGTTGGAAATGTAAAGCCCCCTGAGAGCTTTGGAGCTGCATGTCTGTCCTGTGGTCTCTCCTTCATCTTCTGCCTCTCCTTCCACCCACGAGAGGCACTCCTGGATCTCTTGGTCTAGCTCTGAGAAGTCCCCTTCACCATCAGAGCAACTGTCAGTGTTATAATCGATTTCTTCCGCACAAGGAGGTTCATCTTCAGTCTCCAGGCTGCTGTTGCTGTACCTTCTGCAGAAAGAAATCACAAGAGAGACTGGATGTCATCAAAGGAGGGTGTGTTATCTAACGGTAAAAGCAAGGAACAAGGAAATCCATTTCCTGGGCTCAGTCTTGTCTCTGTTAATGAAGCATGAATTGGCCCTAAGCGTGATCCTGTATGTCTTTGTGTCTGTTTCATCAGCTGTAAAACGAAGAGTGATATTTACCTACCCCAAAGGAGAAACACATTAACATTGCTATTATTACTGCTATTGTTAATGCAAAGTGCTTTATACACACACAACACTGTTCTTGCTTTGAGGCACTTAAAAGGTTAAGGAAGCTGAAATGTAGTAGAGGAGGTATCCAGTTTCCACAAGGTTGCTGGTTTAATAATCATCCACTTCATTGTAGATCCATTGTTAGCATATGACCTAATTAATCCAGGTGGTTGACATGCTTTGGCATCTTTTCCTCCCGTTCTGTGCAAGTTCAGAGCACTGCTAACAAGAAGAAGCACAAACAGAAAAGCAGAGAATTCTAGGGACTGCCAGGGTTGGGCAGAAACACCAGAAGTGCTTGTGTTACAGCCAACATGGTGTCAGCAAGGGTAGATTGTGCCTGACCAACCTGGTGACCTTCTATGATGGAGTGATGGCATCAGTGGGTAAAAGGCCCCCAACACAAACAGATGTGGAACTGGTGGAGCAGATCAAGAGGAGGACACGTCAATGATCAGCGGGCTGGAATAGATCTCCTATGGTCTGATCATAATAGGATAAGTAGGAATTGCTTTAAACTAAGAGAGTGAAGATTTAGATCAGATCTTAGGCAGAAAGTCTTCACTCAGTGGGCGGTGAGGCCCTGGTCAGCTGCCCAGAGCTGTGGGTGCCCCATCCCTGGAGGCTGGATGGGGCTGTGGGCAGCCTGAGCTGGTGGGGGCACCCAGCCCATGGCAGAGGGTTGGAACTCGGTGATCTTTAAGGTCTCTGCCAACCCAAGCCATTCTATGACTCCATGTGTTTTGGAAGGAGTATGAAAAAGCTTTGCCAGCACAACTTACTGAAGAAGGGCCAAAATCAGAAGCAAGTCAGAATAGCTGAGGAGAGACTCTGAACTGATGCCACAGGTCCTTTGGCTCTCAGAAGGGTAGGTTACATTGCCATAGCCTCCTGCCATTTACTTACAGGAGTGGTTGTAGGCTTTATTTACACATTCACTTTCAATACATTTTCTATTAAGTTAGTCTAATGCAATATTTATGACAAAATTGTAACCACAAGACTAGGTGGCTCTAGGGCATGAGCTCTTTCTCCCATCTATTTATCTAGTTCCGTTTTGGCCTTCAGTCCATGAGGGCAGCTGGGTAATATTTTGAGACCAGAAAGAAGCCTGTGGTTTCAGTGCTGCCTAGGTCAGAGTCTGGATGAATCAGGGGGACAGACACCGTGTTTTTCACCTCCAGGTCAGTGTTTTCAATCAGACTCAAAGCAGGAGAATGTATTGCTTTGGGGGACTGGGAAAGGAATAATAATCTTCCGCCACTGGGCCAGAGTTTCTAATTTGTCCCAAGTTGGGAAGAATGAATGGCTTGGCAGATGGAGTATATACAGATTTAATGTGTGGTCTGCTCATTTACATGTCAGTAACCGGAATAATCTTCCAGCTCTCAGCTGTTTCACAGCAGTGCCAGCATCTGAGGTTTCAGAACATACCAAAGGTGTAAAGTATTTCTCTTGGATGTATTGATCTCTTCCCCCTCTTCTCTGCAGTCCAAAAAAAGCATAACTTCTTCCTAGCTCTGAGTATCCAGATCTTAACTGTATACAGATTATCTGCAATCAGAACCATGCAGTGTCAACCCAATTCTTCTCTGGCTGATCTCTAGCTTAGTTTACTTCAAAGGCAGGGTATAAAGGATTCTCTGAAAGCTTAATAGAGCTGTACAGCTTAAAAATAAATAAATGAATAATTATGCACTTTTTCAGTTTTTGGCTCCACTTCAGTCTGCCCAGAAATCTAGGTCAGGAAGAACTCACACTGAAACTGAGCATGTAACATGGAACAAAACAAAACAAACCAGGACAACAATCTTCTCAGCACAAAGAGTAACAAGCAGTGGTCTCAGTATACCGAGTCTGACCAGTGGTTTTGATTTTTCTCTTTTTATTTTTTTCAGATGTAAGCATGGCACGAATTACCACAATACAAAGTACCTATGATAATGTTCAAAGCTGTGTAAACTCTGGAGAACTCAATTTTTCATTTTTAAGCTTTTGATGCTTTGCAATCAAAAAGGACCTGAGCATGTCTGCTTTCACTACTGTGCTTGTATGTTTGGAAGGAGCTGCTAATGCCACTGAGACAGAGCATAGCTCCCGCCCAGCTCCCTGCTGTTGTACAGATGGAACAGCAGTTCAGTTTTCAATCTAAGAACTGAATGTCAAGCATTTGCATTAACAGGATAACAATTAAAAAGAAAAGCCCTAATATTACTGAAATCTGGGAACCCCATTAACAGAGGACCTTCTGAATTTAGTTGATGGCATAAAATGATTTTAGGAGTGGATTTCTGTCTGAAAGAGGAAGAAAGCACAACCACACTTTACTGTGACAGGGAAATCGGGAAGTCAAAAATCAGAAGATGAAAGAGAAAATCACAGCAAACATGCATTGCCTTGCACTGAAGACTAAACAGACAGTCCTTAGAAAGTAAATATGCATAAAACCTTCGTAAAAGACTTCAAAAACTCTCCCTTCCAAGATGCCTCCTGCCATGCTGACTACCTGCACAGGACACAAACAAAACTCAGACCTTGACAATTCAGTATTTGCACATGTACACTGCAGAGAGAGGTTCCCCATGTGGGAGCACGTGGCCAGACAATGATTTAGAGGCCATGAAAGAAGGATTTCTTGCTCTGCATGTTGCTTATTTGTTGTGACAGTGAATGAGCAAGCCAATTAGCAAGGACCTAAGTGGTGACTTCTCCAATCTGGTCTGCTACCCACCACTAACAGAGCCAATGGCACTGCCACAAATCCCATAATGAGCTACCAAACAGTAAATAGATGGCACCAACTTAGTCTCCTTGCAAATGAGACACTGCAACAACCCTGGTGGCTTGGAAGTTGAAAGGCTCTTTCTTTGTCACACTACCAAACTCTACAAACTGGCTGCATTTCTCTACCATGCGGAACTTTCCATCACCGTAACTCAATTTCTGCTGCAGGAAGATTTAAAACACATAACAAAGCAATACCAGTGGGTTATTTCAAAGAGCAGGTTAGAGTTGCTTCTGAAAGAGGAGAGGTGGTAGCATGCAGCATTCCTGGGGAGCCAGTAAGATACCCACAAAGAAAGCTGCCAAAAGCATTGGATGTGGTCACTAAGACCAGCTCCTTTAAGAGAGAATGCAAACGGTGAAGTGTGGTTATGAACAGAAATGGCAACTTCTAGACAACTGCACACAATTTAAGAGGGTCTTAATAAAAGAGATTTTTGGTTAGGAGCAGGGTCTTGGTATTTTTATCTGCTTTAATCTGATTTTTAGAAGCTGAGAAAAAAAAAATCTCCCCTCAGAAAAGAAGAAAGAAAAAACAAACAAACAAACAAAACACCCAGGGGACATGAAACAGATTTACCAAAGAATAATGATGTTGTCTTACAGAATGTAAACAATGAGGAAAACCAAAGACATTACATTAAAGAACTCCAAGACAAATATAGCCCGTGAATACCACTGAACGTGAACACAGTACAGAAGGGGGGGAGTGAAGGCTGTTAATATATCTACAGCCAACAATCCCCAACCATCAAAAAACATTTATAAGTGTTGACTGATTTACTAATTCAAAACCTACAGCCTCACAGCCCCCCCCCATCTATTGCAGCTGATGAGAGAGACACAACAGCAATTTGCAACTTTATTATGTGATAAATAGAATTTCTTTGTTTTTACTTTTAATTTGCATAATCATTGAGATATGACTTGATATTAATTAGATCTGCTTTTGTATGTGGGCGTGTTTGTTTGTTTGCTCGGGCTTGGAAAGAAAGCAAGCTTTGCTACTCTGTAAAATATATAAATTAGTGTATATACATATATATTTCTTTTTTTCCTGACTTAACATGAGGAGAATCATAGAATCATAGAATGGCCTGGGTTGAAAAGGACCACAATGATGATCTAGTTTCAACCCCCTGCTATGTGCAGGGTCGCCAACCATCAGAGCAGGCTGCCCAGAGCCACATCCAGCCTTGAATGCCTCCAGGGATGGAGCATCCACAACCTCCTTGGGCAACCTGTTCCAGTGTGTCACCACTCACTGTGTGAAAAACTTCCTCCTAAAGAAGAACAATTTCAGCACTTCTTTATATGTCAGTTGAACTGGAGCTTTCTGGTATGGCCAGAAAACAACCTTGTTCAGGTGTTTCCCATAAACCCCTCAAGAAAACACAGTGTGGCTTTGGCTGATAAAATACAGCTACATGATGTATATGGGGGATGACTGATGATTTCTCTCCAATACATAATTCTCCTTCAAACGTGTGTACACTTCCAGGACATTGGGAAAAATACAGAGATTTCATAAGTAATTTCTTGGGGTTTTTCACTCACAGTGCAGCAGGTCACTTGCTATCTGTATATTCTACTGACTGGCTCAAAATAGAATCTTTTTTCTTCTGGAAAGAATGGGCATTGACAACTGTCCCTCTTAGGGAATCTTTGACTATTGTTCAGGATTGCTGCTTGACCTTCACTTGACTTGCCTAGCAGTTGCAGTGTTGTACAGAAGAAAACGGAACATTTACTTTTTTTGGTACATATATCTGGCTCTGCTCATTCTTGTGAAATTTGCTGCAGTCTTGCCAATGTAAATCTAGAAAATGAGTGTTTAAATGCATCAGACCAAAAGGAGGAAAGTTCCAAGTCTGGACACCGGCACTGACTGTGGATATAACAAAGACTCCCTGTGAAGATGTACCAACAAATAATCATGTCTTTATCTTTTCTCTGCAGTGAAAA